ATGCCCTAATTAAGTTTTAAATTAATTTATGTATCAAAGAACTGGAGTGTAGGCCAGAGGTGCAGGGAGGGGGATAGTGAGAGGATTCACCAGAGACAGAATAGGGGGACGGCAGATCTACTGAAATACACTGCTAAGGGGAGCAGCTGGATAGACAGAAGCAGTCTGGTGGGCCATTGTGGGCTAGCTACCTAGCCTAGGATCAAACGCCCCAATGGCTGGCTATAGCTTAAGAGCTCTGAGATTTCTGTGCCACGAGGGGCCCATGGTTTGGTTGGTTGGTTGGTTGGTTAGTTGGTTTTCAGGCTCAATTCCTCAGGAAAAAAAATCTTTGTTTTACATTTTTTCCCCTATATTGAAATGTATTTTTGACATGTTAAAATTCTCTATAATTTTAAGTTCGTGTCATGGATAGGGTACATTGAAAGTCTATTAAATTCTAACCTGGAAACAATTGAGTACCCTTAATAGACTATATAACATTATAACAAACAATAGACTATTAATGGAGCTTAGAAGTAGTCTATCAAAGTTAACATTAACTGAGAAGCCAATGGTGTTTTCCTATCTTCTAGGCTTATTCTACTTATAGCTTCTGAAGCAATTTAAGGTACTTGAACTTTATTCTTCTAAGTGCCAAGAGTGAGAATAAGCATGTGTAGTAATTTAGTTTTACACACCAAAATTCTGAGACAATTCTTTCATACATGCCTGTAATGCCCAAATTGTGTGGCTCAAAGACTTGTATTATTTAGTCTCTTTATACCTTCAGAAGCAAATTGTTTTCATAAAGAATAATATGTAATAAAAATCATTCTTTGAACTGCCAGTTATACTTTCAGAAGCAACCTGCCTTTACCATCGCCCATTCTTTGTGCCTTTTTAAAAAAACTTCTGCCCTGCACAGTGGGTGTATAAGTAGACATACATGTTTGTCTGGGAACATGGCATCCCTCCTGGTGGTGAATGTTTGACCTAACTCAAGTTTGTAATGAACAGGGACCTCCAAACTCTTAGGGGTTGACCATTTACATTATTAACTGGACCTGTAAGGATCTCTGGGGTTTTGTTTGTTTTGCTTTTTACTAACTGAATATTTGAAGGATAGAACATACCTGTAAAGTGTTACAAAATGTGAAAATGTGTTACATAGTGATTTATTATGTGTGTTTTGTCTGTAGCTAAATTGGAAACTGAAGCCTCATGAAATGAAGTGACTGGGTTAAGGTCATACAGCCAGTTACTATTAAGGCTCATGATCTGAGCTGTTATTACAAGGTGAAATATGGATTACGTTAGAGCCACATTAAACACTTGACAACTCCCAAGCAGGAAATACTTCCTTATATTTAACATAAATGACTTAACTTCCTTTGGTTGTGAGATAATTGGAAGAGATAGAAAACAGCTGGTGGCTACAATCCTGATTCTCTTAAAACTTCATAATTTCTCATTATTTAATTATAATCATCAATAATGCCATATACAACAGAATCAGTTTTGTTTTTCATTTTGTTTTGTTTAATGGCACTAGTACATTTACATGGGCTGCTTGACATGTGGTTCCCACAGCCAGCTACAGAGCCGTGGATCCCCTTATTAAAAAGAGGTTGAGAATTTTAAGTTGGCAACAGCAGAACCTTCAACTCAGAGCAGGGCCCTGCGTGACTACACAGGTTATACACCCTGAAGCTGCCCTTGGTGCTTCTAGATGTTTTCATTAAAGATTACCATACCAAACTGTGGACTGAAAATATTTTGACATACCACAGGCATTATTATTATTATTTAAATAAAATAAGATTGTTTTCTGCGCATGCAGTTTATGCTGGGTACAGTCATTGAAACTTTTCACAAGATTTCTTGAGAAAGAATGCTAGAATTAAAAAACTTAGAAAAGAGTGCTCTGTGCTCGCCGTGGTGTTGCAGTGTTTAGAATTCAGGAATGAAGTGACCAAAGTACCCAGGTGAGAACTCAAATGCTACATAGATATTCACTATCCACTTCAGAATTAGATTTGGTCATGCCATGGAATTTGTAGGAGGGTATTTGAGAATTAGAAGGCAAAAAGATGTGACTGTTTTCTAAAAATCTCTGAAAGGAAGCAGCTTGCATTAAATGACCTCTGTCCATTCAGTGCACAGCCCTGAAGTGGCAATGCCAGTCTGTTTTAAGAAATGCTGAATTTCACCAGGTGAAATTCTGGTAATTATTTTTTACATGGAAGTGAGACCATTTGTATATACATTTATAAGTACATTGACTGCCTTTTTATTAGATAATTTTCAAAAGTGAAATGATATTTAATCTTTACTTGAATAATTTTGATATTGAAAATGTGTTTTAAAAATAAACTGTGTTTGAAGCTTTTCATAGAAAAGAGTAGTTTACTTCAAAAAACTCTTAAGTGAAATCATGTCTGAGTGATCGGATATGCTTGGATGCTGATTAATTTCTGCCTTCATAAATTTTTAAGATAGTTTCAGGTATAAGAGGGTGCATTTCTATTTTAAAAATAATATAGTTCAAGTGTCATAGTCACATATTCCTTTCCACATTTATCTCTGTTGATGCTAACTTTTAAAATATCTGGTTGCATTTGCTACATAGACATGTACATATTGTTTATATATGTTGACACTAAATTGTTTTTTTCTAATCTAGACCATAATCTTTATGTAAGACTATCTTTTTTCATAGAAAATTAAAATTTTTGAATACTAATGCTATAACTGGAGAATTAACTTTTAAATGATATATAGATATTAGAATAATTTTTAAGACAAGGTCTTAATACTTTGATATTATGCAAATTCCTGCTTTGCAGTACTAATATAAATTATACCAGTTATCAGAAGACTTCAGATTTTCTTGCTTTTTTTCCCTGTTCATCTCCTTTTTAAGAGGTAGCCAACAGTGCCACCATCAGAACAGACAGCTTTTCTCATCATCAGTTTTTTTTTTTTTTTTAAATATCTACACTTCAGGAACAATTAAAAAACTGCTTAAATTTAAACAGACAAAAAATATTGAGAGATATGATAAAGATCCCAATGATATGATAAAGCTACCTTTGATGTATTTTGTGAGTAAGTGAAATTCATAAAAATTTTTCTTCAAAAACTTGTTACTAATTTGGATACTTATATTTTATGAAGACATTCTCTTCAAGTAGTTTTAATATAGATATCATTTACTGTCATTGTCTTTTAATTTGTTGTTGATAAAGTCTTAAAGAAGGCTGTAAAAAACAAGAGAATAACCAGACATCTTCCCTAGTAAGCATTTTTATCACTTTTTTTTTTCATTCTGCATTTTCCTTAATATGTGACTTATTTTTAAGTAAGGACGTTAAAACTAAACCGCCAAGTTAATTATAATTTCAGAATCTATATTAAAGCATAAAATTATTCTTTCATGGTGTGATACTTACATGCTATGGTATATTTATTTTTGAATGAAAAGAAACCTGGTTTCCATCTTTCTATTGACATCAAACACTCTTCTGATATGCTAATCTAGCATCAGGGAGAGCACATCCACAGGCTTTATTTGGACCTATTCCAAGTCTCAAAGAAAATTATGTGCATAGAACTGATTTTGCAGCGTTGCTTGCTTAGAATGAAAACGGATGTTGACATAGTCTACAATTAAAAAGACTTAATATTGAAATGTGATATGGGAGGTTTACAACATTTTAATAATATCCCAGTTTGCTTCTTAATTGCCTGGTCATCTAATTGCTATTTGTTCTTTACTGCTCATGTAATAGCCATCAAAATTGCTACCAAGTTCATTTCCATAGTTTGTGTCATAATAAAAACTAATCTCAACTTATTAGCTTCCTCTTAAAGATTGATCCTTTAATATGTTGTGTGTATATGAGACAGTAAATGTAAGCTTTCACTTACCATTATGTAGGGATATTATCAGATTTTGTTTTGATTTTTCCAGGAGCCTGCCCTCAACTGGTCACAGAGATAAAAATTGACCTGTGAGGTAGTTGAGGAGACTGAAGTCTGTTTCTCTGTCTTATCCAGAAAAAAAAAAACTCATTAGTTGAACTTTCAAAAACATTTCCAGATTACATGTATCCAAATGCATATTTAATACATATTTTTGAAAAGATCACTTATCAGAAAATTATATACAAACTTGTTTAAATGCAGTTTTTCATTTTGGTCAGCTGTAAATAGGAAACCAGTTGTATTATTGTTAATTAGAAATAATTTGTATACTGTGAATCTTATGATCCTAAGAATTTTGTTTCTGAATATATTATAGCATATTCTTCTAGCAAAACTAATGAAGAAAAATGGTCTTAACTATGTTCCTCAGGTTCTGTAGTTAAGTGACTGTTCTCTCCTGGGTGATGGCCATTCTCTTCTAAATAGCTTGTAGGTGCTCAGCTTTTTGCTCTGCCATCCTCTAACAGTTGTTGTTCATAAAGTTTAGTTTCATTCATTAAAAACAAATTGAAATGTTAACTTGTCTTGTACACTGGGAATATTCATGAAAAGTTTTTACATAAATCCCTCTATTGATTACATTTTTAATAAAGTAAGTCATGTTTCAAATGATAAGAATGTTTCAACATCTAAAAGGAATTCTATAGTGAAACCTTCTGTGAGGAAAATTGTCTTAATGATCATAATTACCTTCAGGTTTGTAGACTTTTATTCTGGCTTTTATAAAAAAAAATTGACATCTTCCTTTTAGGAAAAGAATTATTTTATATAGTTGTTAATTTTTTGAAATAGTTGGATATCACAAAGATGTAGCCTGATATGACTTGTGCTAACTTTGGATATAATAGGGGAAATTTTGAGCTATTCTGTCAGGTAAGATTACCGGAATCATTTTACTTTGGAAAGTTACACATTTTTAAGATTAGTAGATAAAAGCATATGTTTTTCTAATTTATTGCTTTTTGTATATAAGAATCTAGTCTTAAGAATTTTGGATATTTCTTATAATTCTCATTTTTAATTTTGTAAAGCATTTTAAGAAACAGAAGAGGCTAATTCCTGAAAGAACCGTTTGGAAGTACTTTGTTCAACTCTGCAGTGCATTGGAACATATGCATTCTCGACGAGTCATGCATCGAGGTAAGATTAAATGGTGAATAATTTTTTAATATTGTTTTAGGATGCGAGTTACCAGGCAATTTATGAATAAATGCCTTCCAGTCATTGGATATTGCCATGCTTTCTCAGGTAATTTATTTCCAGAAAGTAATTTTACTAGAATGATAAACCTCTAATAGAAACTCGGTTTTGTTTTAGGTAAGAATGAAAATCATTTGTTTTCTGCTTCACTCTTTTGAGCGCCTTACTTATTATATTGGTAACAGAAACAAAAACAGATGCTGCAAAGTAGCAGAGTGTGTATAGGAAAGAGTTGGTCTTCCCCCCAAATGAGCAATGTATAATATGACCACTAAGGTTTTTAATTTTCAGCATTAACTCTTAATATACTCTTAATTACCAACATAAAACTGTGTGAAAAATCTCTATGGATTTGATCCATTTTATATGATATGTAAACTTTCAGTATTATTTATTTAAGCAGTGATGTTTTTAAAAGACCATCTAATTATCTGTATAATAGAATTATTTTATATTTTCTGTAGAAATATCAATAAATTGATGTTTAGTAATGTATTTTATTTGAAATGAATATAAAAAAGGATACCTTATTTTGTGCTTTGAATTTTAAAGGTTTATTTTTAAATGGAAAACAAAATGCATTTTAAATAAAAATAAGCTTTTTATGATGGTCTTATGATTATTTGTCCATCAAAGGAATGAACTTAAATACTAGGATATAGTGAAATTAATCAAAATAACTAAAATGTAAAGTTCTGCCATGTAAAGTGATATTTAATCCCTTGAAAAATGCCTAAACTGGCATTGTCTTTCACTGATGCCTTCATTTATTCACAGATATAAAGCCAGCAAATGTGTTCATCACAGCCACAGGAGTGGTCAAACTTGGAGATCTTGGTCTTGGCCGTTTTTTCAGCTCCAAAACCACAGCTGCACATTCTTTAGGTAAGAGACACAATAAATGTCAGTCAGTTATCTTTATGTGCTGTATGTGTGCACGTGTGCGTACATGAGCATGTATGTGTGTGTGATTAAAACCACAAGGATGTGCCAGTTATATGCTAGCTTTTATATTCTAAGTCGATTTAAAAAATCATTACCTACTGAGCAAATACCAGCAGTCTCCATTATGTCCAGTGTACAGTGTGTCCATTCATTTGGACTGAGAGGTAAAAGAAAATGTTAGTGGACAAACCTGGCTTTTATTATTGCCACACAGAATTCCTTTTATTCTACATTTAGTAATACTAAGATAATAAAGTGAATTAACCATATATCGGAAGAGATGTGACCATTTAGAAATACTATAGTTGTTTGTGAATGTTATTTACTAAAGTAATACATACGGTTGTGATTACTACAAAGGGAAAAACTATGAACAATCTATGGAAAATATTCCCCTAAATTATAAAGTAGAAGATATCTGTAGTTCTTTTATTCTAGAATTAATAATAGAGTAGTGTCCTTTATACCTAAAGTAGAACTGCATTTTAGTAACAGTGGAAGCAAAGTTGTCTGGTTTAGAAACAACAGATATTACCAGAGGAAACTACTTTTAATTTGGAAAAATTGAAAGGAGTGAGACACATCTTGTCTTAAAACTTCAAATCATATGTTCTTCTTGAAAATGTAACACACAAATGGTGAGAGTAAAATAAGTGAAAAATAAATTAAATAATATACTATTTTTGGTGTCATAATTTAATTGAAAACCATTTTTTCATAAAATATTTTTGATGAAAGCATTCTTTTAAAAGAAAAGCTTTTAAATGACTATTACATTAAATTATATTAAATAACAATTAAATAATAAAGTTAATGAGTGAGTACCTCAGTTAGTTGACAAGGCTTTTTAAAGATTTCCTTAGCTTTGTAATTAAGGCTCTGTGCTCTTAATTCTATAATTTTTCTGTATCTCAACTTTTCTGTATCTGACACATTAGTAGAATTCAGTCAGTACTTACTAAATGATAAAGCAATAGGTCCAAATTTAAAAAGTAGTGGTAAAATAATACTTCACCCTTACACAGAATTGATTTATCAGGTACTTTAAGAAAACAAAATTTCAACTGACTTTGGGTAATATTGTTTATTTTTTTTTAATTTACACTTATTTTAGCAGAGCATTACAGCTCTTTTACTAGATAGGAAATTTCATGAGAAATGCATATATTTGTATAGCACTTTATTTAATATAAGTTTTACTTGGAAGTTATAAACTCTTACAATGAAATAATAATTTCTAGAAAGAAAGCTTTATATTATTCTGAGCTAGTGCCATGTCACTAGGACAGATAACATGTTTGCACATTATCTTTGTTACTCACCTGAATGGAATGTCTTAATAGCATTCTGTCACTAGTTTAAGTAGAAATGCTAAGTTACCATCACACACCCACACCCACGCACACCACTGCACGTATTCATGCCCTTGCACACGCACACATGTGGTTTGCTTCCTTGCTGCTCAGCAGACTCACTCTGAGCATGTTGTAGCCCCTGACCCGCAGAACCCAGCATACTCTATGGAAATCAGGTCTTTTAGTTTTTTTTTTTTTCCTTTTTAAAAAGAATTATTCCTTTATTGTAAGATTTTTATTTATTTTTGCATAGAAGAATTAGAATGAAGGCCAGAGGTATAGGGGTTTAGAGGACTTACCAGAAAAAGAGTGAGGAACAGAATAGGAAGATTCACTGAAATACACTGCTGAGGGGAGCAGCGGGTGAGACAGGAGGTCTGGTGCACTATGTGAGTCAGCTCCCTGGATGAGGATGCAGAAGGATATAACTCAGCACAGTGGTAGAGCTGAGACTTTGACCCTTAGACCATCAGAGAGACTTCTCTTTCACAGTTTTGGCAATAGTCATTTTTAGCTTGCCAGACGCTTTCTCTTACAAAGTTCTTATTAGGGTTTACAAACATACAGACATGTTTGTATCTCTGTCTACCAAAACTCTTTGGAACCAATAAGAGTCTTATTTAAAAAGATCAGGAAATTGGGCCCTCCCTGGTGGCGCAGCGGGTTAAAGCACAGCAATGAGAAGCTAAAGCCGCTTCCCCATGAGTTCGATTCCTGCCTGCCCCGGAGGTGACCACATGGCGCAGCAGACCTCTCCTGACCCACCCGCTGCTCTCCTCGTCAGTGTACTTCGTCAATCTGCCTGTTCTGCTCCCTACTCTGTCTCTGGTGAAGCCTCTTGCCACCCCTGAGCCTCTGGCCTGTACCCCAGTTCTGTATATACAAATAAATAAATCTTTAAAAAAAAAAAAAAAGATCAGGAAAAATTTTCTGCTAACAAATAATGTGCATAAGACAACAAGGATAGAAATTTTGACAGAATTACATTTAAAGTTGATAAGTTGACCCTAATTTTTATCTTTAAAGACCTATTATTTCCTATGTCCTTACTGCATATTTTGATATTTAAGAACAAATGTTAAGGTTGTTTCTAAGCTTCAGTGCCAAAAAGCAATTGGAAACGTGACCACCTATGTCCATTCATTTCACTTGTGGGAAGTATTACACAGCCACATCTTTTGATATATGTTGATTACCTGTCTAATTTTATGCAGCATAAAGTCTGCACAGTATGATTTATACATAGAACAGGTCTAAATTTTAGTGAAATTATAGATAAATGAGAACTATATATAGTTCATAATGAAGAATCCATGTAACTTTACTTTAAATGAAAGTCTGTCCTAGAGCCAAATTTCATTTAACTTTATAAAGATGTTTTCAGGAATTTATTTTTAAAAAAGGCAAAACTGTATATGATTTAAAAAAAAAAAGTCTTGTTACTTGCTTTTTCCAGAAAAGTATATTTGTGTTCACAAGTAAAATAAGATCTTTTTATTTACTTTGATATGTAAATAGGCTTACTATCAATTACTTGCAGTTTAGCAGTGCTTAAGGTGTTGGCGAGTCTTGGAAGTTTTCAGTTGTCTCTGCATTCTGCTCCTCTTGCTTGACACCTAGCATATTCTGGAAAGAATGGATTTATATGCTCACTTATCTGCAGGAATTTAATCAAGCCATTCATTACTTTTCCCAATTTCAGTCTACAGATTTACCAAACAAACAAAAAAATAACATCCATCCTGTGTTGTCACCTTACTTCCAAACAGTCCCCAGCCTAGTAACATAATGTATGTAACTGTTTTCTAAACACAGCTCATGGTGGTGGTAAAGATGCTGAAGCAGAGGGAAAGAGCAGAAGGATTTTATGGGCAGTATATTTAAAATACCTCAGTTGATCAAAGAAAATCATTAGAATACCTTTTTTTATTCATGTGCTGTTATAGGGCCCAGGAATGCAGACTACATAAGAAAAGTCCTTTTCTTTGTGGAACTGCTTATGATAGAAGGAAATGGATAAGGGGGAAGGATGGTGGGGGGAGAAGGAAAATAATTTGTTAATCACGTGGTTAACATGAGTGATGGATAGGGAAAGTATTTTAGAAAAGATATGGTCAGACGTAGCCTCTGGAGGTGATGTTTGAACTGAGATTAGAAGGCTGCAAAAGAGCCAGCTAGGAAAGGCCCTGGGGGAGTAATACCTCAGGTTGACTGAAGAGCAGTTTGTACAAAGAGACAGATACAGGAGAGCCTGCCTGCAGTGATTCCTAGAGTGGGATGAAGGAAGGTGTTGGCCACATGTGGGAAAGTTTACAATTTATTCTAAGTCCAGTGGTCTGCCCATTGTTGCAAGGTGCCTTTGAGGAGAGCAGGTGGATTTTACTGAAGGCAGCAGCCTAGAACATCCTTCTTCAGGATAATGGCCCCAGAACCACCTGCTGTTGCAGGTTCTTGTGTGTCCCCAAAGTTGTCTTTTTTCCTTTTCAACGTGCCTTTTAGTTTGTGCTACCCAGAACTAAGCAGAGTACACCAACTTTGAGTTCATCAAAAAGTGTATCCCTGCTTGTGATTTGTGATCTAGACAGGTTTGTTTGTTTTTCTCCCCCGCCTCCTTTCATTTTACACATGAATTTATTGTAAGCACTGATTTTCAATCCAGTGCTTTTGTGTTTCTCTGGACGGGTGGTGGGTGGCTAGGGAGCTTGATTGTAGGATCATATACAAATCCCTATGAATTTTGCCATTTTTTTCATATGTTACTCGTCAACCTTATAAATGTAGCAGATGTTAGAAAATTTGTTACATGTATGACTACATCTTTAAAATTTATGATGAGGACTGATCTCTCATCAAGCTCCTTGCCAATTTAGGTAAGTGGCTTTCAGTTTCTTGGCACAGACCCTCAGCAACACTGAGACCCCATGACAACTTACCACATATACTGGAACAAAAATTTTATGCAATGGTGTTTTTCATTTTAGCTGCATTGCAGTATAATATTATCTGTTCTGTTTTATTTTACTAAAAACAATACTAGTTGCAACTTGCTAAATTGTTCTCACAACTCATTAATGAGTTATGTATGACTTTCAATTTGGAAAACATTGGTATGTTAGTTTTCATGCTGTTCTATTAAAGACAATACCCATTTTTCTACCTCCTTTTAGATGTTTTTCTGACTTGCTGTCTGGTGATTTCAAACAGAAATTAGTCATTTTTGGTGCTCCCTGTACAGATGGAGGTGTGATAACATGCATAGTATTTCAGTAGCTTGCACAATCATTTAACTCCCTAGCTCTCTTATATGTAAGTTCTTACGTACGTAAGTTGAGTGCATTTTGGCTTTGAGGAAACTGAAGCACAGAGAGATAAGTAGGCTATGTAACTAGGAGATGATGAGGGGTTCTGTGGCTTCCTACCCTGGTTCACAATATCATACATTTTCTTTTTCACTCTATCAATACCTAGAGACATTTCTCTCTCTCTCTTGCTGTTATTTGATTTGTTGTTATTTATCTTCCATCTGGAATTACTGTTTTTTTTTTCCTTTGTACTTTGATTAGGAATGTACATATGAAAACATAA